TGCACCCTGGTGTGGCCACTGCAAGAATCTGGAGCCCAAATACAAAGAGTTGGGAGAGAAGGTAGGTCACAGTCTCTGTTGCAAGTGTACGTGACAGCTTTGCAGCACTAAAGAGTTCTGCATATTGTGTCTCTCCAAGCTTGACACTGTAATGGTATAGCTGTGCCTTCCTGAGGACTTCAGTGTTTTCCATCTCCTGTAGATGCAGAAGTGCATGAGCAGGATCTGGAGCATGGCAGTAACTGAGCTGGTTTTGTGGTGGCTGGCTTGGTGGTAATATTTTGTCAGTGTTGCCTTATTTAGTCCTTGGGTGGAGAAGTTCCTTTTTGGGCTTTTTGCTCTGACTGTGGTATGACTATGGACTGCATGACACTGCTGTCCTTCCATCAGATGATGTTTTCAGTGCAGGTGTAAACACGTCTTTGCAGATCTGACCAACTTTTTCCTGTGTGGCTGTCAGGTACCCTTCCTACTTGGGCACTGCTTACACTCACAGTTTGCTTTCTCAAAGATTCATGGCACACAGTGCCTCTGGGGTCAGCATTCCTTAGGAGTTGCAGCTACTGACTTAGTCTGGTATTCTTTGGGAGATCTGTGCTGCATACAAGTGAATGAGGAGGAGCTTAGTTCCCTGTGCCCCTGCTGAAGCAGAAGAAAACTCTTTAGAATAAATTTTATTCAACTGTTTGTGCATGGTACATGCTGTCCTGTGAAATCCTACCTTACATGTCGATAGTTCTGCTGTTAACTGCTGGAGTTTGGTTATTAATGTGCTTTCCCAACAGCTCAGTAAAGACCCCAATATTGTCATTGCCAAAATGGATGCTACAGCCAACGATGTGCCTTCTCCATATGAAGTCAGAGGGTAGGTGCTGCTTCTGTTGGACTGCTGTGTCAGCAGGCACGAGTTCAGGCTTCTGTCTCTGACCAGCATCCTCTGCTGATCTGATGGAGGTTCCTGGGGAGAAGGGGGGTATGGACAGGGAATTGCATACATCTGTTCTGCTGCTATGGTGTCCTTGCCATACCTATAAGCTTGTCTCACTGAGCCTTTCTCTTGAATTTGCTGTGATTCTGTCTTGGTGGTGCAAAAATAACACTGGAATTGCTTTTCTGAAAGCTAGCAAACCTGACTGTAGTTGTGCTCAGCCAGCTGTGCAGATAAGGCTTTTGGATGCCACGTACACTGGCTTAAGAGCTGGTTTTCTTGTTGCCATGTAAAACTAGAGCAAGAGTGCAAGTCCTCTCAGTGGTCTGAAGGACAGGGCCTGAAAAAAGCAGCACAGCGTGAGCTCAGACACCTGTTCTCTCTTCCCCAGCTTCCCCACCATCTATTTTGCTCCAGCTGGCAAGAAGCAGAGTCCAAAGAAGTATGAGGTGAGTGTCATGCATGCAACTCCTGGGGCTCTGTGAAGTGATGAAGTAGAATCCAGGTGCCCAAATAACGTGGAGTCTCTCTGGAGTTGTGCCTGGCACTCTGTCCTGTTACCCAGGGAACACACGTGGTGGTCCCTGCTGGGACTGTGCTGCTGCAGACCCACAGGAAAGAGCTCTGCTTGCAGTTAGCTTGGTCTCCTGGCTGGCACCCAAACTCTCCCCTAGCAAAGGCAAAGTCCACAGTGAGGACAGGCTGTGTCTTACTGCCTTGTGTGTTCTGCAGGGTGGCAGAGAAGTGAGTGACTTCATCAGCTACTTGAAGCGGGAGGCAACCAGCACTCCTGTGCTGCAGGAGGAAGATAAAGCCAAGAAATCCAAGAAGAAGGCGAAGGAGGATTTGTAAAGTTCCCACTCACCATCTTGTCAGGATGTGCTCTGTGTGAATTGGGGAAGCACTGGGCAGACTGGGGCCAGTTCTGGATTGTGGAGAGCCAGTGACTATGAGGGCTGAGGGGCTCCAGCTGCTGTGTCTACTTCTGTTTAATTTCCTGTTGCCTCTTAGCTGCACTGCTGTGGGGCTCTCCAGACTGGTTTGTTTTCTGGTTTGGGAGGGGGTGGGGGGTAGGGTTATTTTCTAATTTTTTTTTGTACATTTGGAGAAGTGAAACAATAAAATGACCCCCTTAAACCAAAGTATCGCCTGTCCTTGGGAAATTCATTAAACATAACATCAGGCTGATGCTCACTGAACAACACCCTCCTACTGTGAGTCTGGTTTCCTTCAGTGAGCCTTCGGGGCCTTGTTCTCGATGTTCAGCTTGGCTTTTCTCCAGCTGATGAGTAGCGAGAATTGTCCTGCTATGCCGTGCTGTGGGGGTGCAGATTTGGGACTCTGGAATCACAGAATCGCGGGGGTTGGAGAGGCTCTCAAGAGAGCGAGTGCAACCCCGCTGCCGAGCAGCTTCCCTGCAATCGGTCACGCGGAGGCGTCCAGGCAGCCAACGCAGAACCGCCAGCAGCACCAGAGCGGGCGCTGACGTGATGCCACCGGCACAGTGCGGAGTGCGAGAGGGGCAGCAACGGAAGCCCGGGGGGCATGGCGACCCCCAGGCCCTGGCCCCCGGCTCGGCAGCGAGGGGCTCACCGGGGCGCGGTTCGTGGCGGCTGCGGCGCGAAGAGGAAAGTGGAGAACCAGGAGGGCTCCCGGCGCCGGCGGGCGCTGCCAGCGGGAATCCCCAGCCCGGGCCGCGTCTCGCTGAGCCTCTCCCTCCCGCGAGGCCGTCCTACCGGCACAAGTTCAGGGAACGAGAAACGCCCCCCCGGCCCCTGCCGGCGCGTTACCCCGTCCCGACGCCCCGAGCGGCTGCTCCTGCCTGCCCTGGATGACCCGATACCCTCGAAACCCCCGGGCCGATGCCGCCGGCCGCAGCCGCACTCACCCCGTGGCTGCCGGCGCCGTGCGGGACGGGGCGGCCCCGAGGCGGTACCTGCCCGGTTCCGGCGGGACTCCCGCGGCGGAGCTCGTCCCGAAGCGGCTATTTTTGCCGTCGCGACGCGCTGCCGTCACCGCTAATCCCCTTAGCGGCTTCCCGGCGTTAGGTAACGGCGCAGCGGGATGCGCTCGGCGGCGCCCCCGACTCTGGGCGGCCCCGGGCAGTCGCGGCTCTGCAGGGCCGGAGGCGACGCGCCCGGAGCGGGCTGGGGGCTGCGGGCGGCCGCCGCCGAGACGCGGGGAGCGCGGGCCCGCCCGGCCCGGGGTCGGCTCGCGGCGGCGGGCAGGCGGCGGGGCGACGGGCGGGCATGCAAGGAGCCTCGGCTGGCGGCTCCCCGGAGGGGGAGGCGGGGGCCGATGAGCGGCTGCGGGGGTCGGGCCGGGGCAGGCGCGTCCGGTTCCGTATGCCGCACACCACCATCGCGGTGCCGTCGTGCCGCGACGAGGAGCAGCTCTTCTACCGGCGCCTGGACGCGCTCGGGGCGCTGGGACCCGACGGCTTCGCGCCGCTCTTCGCCGCCGAGGGCTGGAGCGAAGTGACGGGTGAGCGCCGGGCGGCGGGTGCGGGGCTGCGGCGCGGCCGGAGCGGCTCTCACGGGATGCTGCCCGTAGAGGATCGGCTGCTGCGGAAGCGCGTGGTGCGGGACGGGCGGGGAGGCGCGCCGCAGCCAGGCCAGGAGGTGTCGGTGAAATTGCTGGGAGCGCTGGAGGACGGCGGTCTGGTGGAGCGGGACCCGCGGCTCAGTTTCGTGCCGGGCCAGGGCGACGCCTTGCAGGTCGGCAGCGCAGGTGGCAGGGTGCGGGGCGCGGAGAGCCCGGCGAGCACAGCCCGTGCTCCGTGCCCGCAGGCGCTGGAACTCGGCGTCCCCACCATGCGGGCCGGGGAGGTCTGCTTCTTCCTCGCCGCCTCTCCCTACGGCTACGGCCGCGCGGGCAGGTAGGACCGGAGGGCCGGAGTGGCCAACAGGACGGGGGCACGGGGACAACGGGTGTCGGTCCCGCAGGGAGCCCGACGTGCCCCCCGAGGCGCCGCTGGTCTTCGAGGTGACGCTACTGGAGGTGCGCGACGGCCCCGACCCGCAGCGGCTGCCGCCCGCCGCCCGCCTCCGCCTGGGCGCGCAGAAACGGGAGCGCGGAAACGTCCACTTCGCGCGGGGCGACTTCGCGGCCGCGCTGCTGTCGTACCGCCTGGCACTGAGCGCCCTCGAAGGGTCCGGCGAGGAGCGGCGGGACGGGACGGGCGTCGACCTCCACCCCGCGTCCCTGCCTGGACCGCACGAAGAGGAGCTGCGGGAGCAGCGCGTGAAGTGCCTCAACAACTGCGCGGCGGCAGCGCGGCGGCTGCAGAGGGGCGCGGAGGCGTTGGCGGCCGTGGAGGAGGCGCTGCGCCTCAGCCCGGATAACGGCACCGCGCTGCTGCGGCGGGGACAGGTGCGTCCGCGACCCCGCGGCTCCCGCCGCCGCTTCCCGCCGCACCGCGCACGGCTCCCGTTGTCCCCCCGCAGCTACTGGCCGAGGAGGGCCGCGACGAGGAGGCGGCGCGCGTGCTGCGGCGGGCGCTGGAGCTGGACCCGACCAGCAAGGTGCGGAGCGGGGCGGGGCGGGACCGCGGAAGCGCTCCCGCAGCGACGCCGCAGCCCCGCGGCTCTCCCGCAGCCCGTGCACGCGGAGCTCTCCCGCCTGGCCAAGCGCCGTGCCCGCACCGCCGAGGAGCCCCGCGACCGTCCGCGGCCAACGCCGAGCTCCGGGTGCGTGTGGGGCCGAACCTGCCCCGCGCCGCGCCGCCCGGCTCCGCGCCGCGCTCATGGCCGCTCTGCCCGCAGGGAGGGAATGGCCCCGCCCGAGGAGCCGCGCTCCGAGCGACCGGGGCTCCGCGCCGCCCCCGCGCGCACGCAGGAGGAGCGACCGCAGCGCTCCCCGCCTCCCGGGCCCACGGGCGCGGCCCCGCGGCTCCTCGCGCCTGCGCCGCAGCTCCCGGCGTTATCGCCCCCGCCGGCGGAACGGCGGCCGTAGCCCGCGGCCAATCAGGCGGGGCCGGGCCGTCACTGCGCGCCAATGGGAGGGCGGCGGGGGGCGGGCGCGGCGTGGCGATTGGCTGCGGCGCTCCCTTAAAGAGCGCTGCGGGGGCGGGGCGAAGGGGGGGCAGTGCGGGACGTGGCGGCGGAGCGGAGGGCGGGAGGGAGCGGCACCATGACCCGTGAGTGCGGGCCGGGCCGGGAGCGGCGCAGTGCCGCCGGGGGGCGGGGGTGGGAGCGGGGCCGGGCCGGGGGCGGCGGCGCGTTCTACTACCGCGGGGCTGGGGGTAGGCGGGGGGAGCGGGGGGAGCGGGGCCTTTTCCTGGGCCCGGCACCCGTGCTGAGCTGAGGGCCGCGCCGTGCAGGCGGGAACCAACGCGAGCTGGCGCGGCAGAAGAACCTGAAGAAGCAGAGCGATTCGGGCAAGGGCAAACGGCGCGACGACGGGCTCTCGGCCGCCGCCCGCAAGCAGAGGTGAGTGCCGGCAGCACCGCCCCGCGGGCCCCGCCGGGCACCGGTGTGAGCCGCGCCGCGCTCTCCGCAGGGACTCGGAGATAATGCAGCAGAAGCAGAAGAAGGCTGACGAGAAGAAGGAGGGCAACAAGTAGCAGCGGTGCCCCGCGGGCGGTGCTCGGCGATGCCCTGTGCGGCCCCGGGACCGCCCCGCCCCGCCGGGCTCCCCGGCAGCGCCGCTCTCCCATTAAAGTAGCTCGTGGAGCCCTGCAGGCCCGGCCTCCTACGTGTGCCCGGCGGCGGGGGGGGGGGGCGGGGGGCGGTCGGCGACCTCGCGGTGAGCCCCGGGACGGGGACGGTCGGTGCCGCGAGGCCTCCGCGGCGCCTGATCTGCGAGCTCCAGGAGGGGCTGCTGTGGGAGCCCGGCGGAATGAAGGCAGCGGAGCGCTGCAGATGCAGTGGGAAGCGGCTGTAGTGAGAGCCTGGAACAGCGGCGGGAGGATGGGGGGGGGTGACACGCGAAGGCGACGCTCCCGCGTCAGGCCCTGCAGCAGCCCGCGGCGGCCCGCGGGGCGGGGATGCTGAGATCCAGGCGGGCGCCGCTGCCCGAGACCGCCGTCCTCTTCACTGCTCTGCGGGCCGAGGCGCGGCGTCAGCCCGGCGCTCCGCCCTCGGCCCGCGCGGTCCCCCCTACCCTGGTCGCTGCTCACCGGGCGAGGTGCAGCACGGCTTCCACCACGTTCGTGCCGTCCTTGGCGCTGGTCTCGCAGAACAGGCAGTTATGGGCCTGGAGAGAGAGCGGCTGGAATCGGAGGCCGGGGGAGCAGTTCCGGGGGTTGCCCCCAGCAGCAGCTACTCACCGTGGCCAGCCTCTGTCCGTGGGCCGTGTGGACCCCTGCCGTCTCCGGCAGCGTGGCCCGCAGGTCGCTCTTATTACCCACCAGCATGAGCGGCAGTGCGGTCCCGGCGCCCTGCGACAGCGAAGGGTGGCTTGGGGTCCTGCCGTTCTACTGAAAGCTGCCCGCCCTGAGGCTCGGCCCTGCTCTGGGAGCCGTGGGATCCCTCCCGTTACCTCGATGTCTTCAATCCACCGGCGGACGCTGAGGAAGCTGCTCTGGGAGCTGATGTCGTACAGGAGCAGCACGCCGTGGGCCTTACGGAAGTAGGAGCGGGAGATGCTGCGGTACCTGGAGCCGGGGTGTCACCGCGTGAGGGCCGTGCAGGGCCAGGCCTGCAGCAGAGACCTGGCTGCGCTGCGGGCACTGCTGCCCTCCTCACCTCTCCTGCCCAGCAGTGTCCCAGATCTGCAGTGTGGTTTGCTCCCCATCCACCAGCAGCTCCTTCACCTGGAAGTCCACCCCTGCCCAGGGCAGCCATCAGGCCCCAGTCCACTTATCCCAGCCCCTCTGTCCCAGCCCTGGTACCTAATGTGGAGGAGATGTCACCTCTGAACTCATTTCTGCAGAGGCGCAGCAGGAAGCTGGACTTGCCTGCACCGCTGTCCCCTGCCAGCACCAGCCGGTATACGGGGCTGGGGGCCACGGGCTGCTCCCCCGTGCCAGACCCCTGGGAGATGGAGCGAGTTGTTAGACCGTCAGTACTGGGGGGGTCCCCACTTCCCCTTCCAGCCGGGCCGCGTGAGCCGGATGGGGACTTGCTGTGTACCTCCGGTGCAAAGGCAGAGAGCTTCCTCTTGCAGCAGCGTTGTGCAGGATGGCAGCAGCCTTCCACCTCGCCGGCCTGGGGGTCCTGCAGAGTGGCAGATCTCACAGTGAGGCACCCGAATCTGTGGGTCGGGTGGGGCAGCAGGCAGGGCCTGCACCTGTGTGTCCTGAGCAGGGCTGGCAGAACGCGCATCCTCTGAGCTCTGGCAACCGGCATCGCTGGATGACGCCGAGTCCTCGCTGCGGGCTGAGCTCTGCTGGGGGCACAAGGAGCCGTCCACCGGACCCGTGCCCAGCATGGTACTCGGGGAGGGGTGGCTGCAGCTGATCCCTCACCTGTGCGTTTACTTCTCACCTGCTGTGAGCACACTTGGGGAGGCTGTGGGAGGGGGCTGCGGGGCCGAACAGGGGCTTGGGCTGGCGGGGTTGGGGTGTCAGCATTGACAGGCTCCCGGGGTGTTCTGCCACTGCCGGCACTCGGGGCTCCGGGGGTCCCCGGCTGCAGCCCCCGAGCTGCAGGGCAGGTTGTGGGAGGGGTCCCGCCGGCACCGTCCCCGCCGTCCCGTTCCCTCCCCCCCGCCGTGCTCACCGCTCTGGGGCCCCCGGAGGCGCCCAGCAGCAGGGCTGAGCGCAGGCTGCCGTTGCTCTCCCGTAGTCTCCTATTCGTCGACCTGCCCAGAGCGGCGGCCTAAGGCCGGGTCGGCACCGGGGGAGGAGCGTGTCCTGCCCGATCCTCGCGCCGCCTCCCGCCCTGCACACCCGACCTACTGCAGCATCCTGATGTAGCTGGTGAAGGCCAGGTTTTCCTCCGCCAGCTCCCGCAGCGCCTGCTGCTCTCTGCGGAGAAACGGCATCCTCACGGCAGGGCCGGCACCGGGGGCTGCGCACGTCCTTCCCGCCCCACGTGTTCCCCCATTTCGGGGTGCCGGAAGCGCTGGAGCAGCTCCGGGACGCTTGGTGTCACCGAAGAGTGGAGGGGGCGGGGGAGGGTAGCAGCGGGCCGGGAGGGCCGTGCCAGCGGCTCCGCGTGGGCTTCCCGACGGCTGCCGGCGTTCGCGGCACGGCGGAGCGGGCAGCGCTTCCCGGCGGAGCCCTCCCTGGACCTCAGGACAGCCGAGGGCCGTCCCTGGGCGGGCATCCGTGGGCACCCCGGGGCGGGGCAGGGCCGGAGCACAGCCCAGGGCCGGGGTATTCTCCTCGCCCCCCGCCCGCAATGCCACCTTCTGCGTCGCTGTGCCCGCCGATGGAGGTCCTCCCGCAGCCGCTCCAGCTCCGCCCGCAGCTGGGACTGTCCGGCCTCGGAGCGCAGCACGCTGAGTCGCAGCCGCGCGTTCTCCTGGTGGGGAGAGTCCCTTTGGCTCCGCCGGCACGGCCCGCAGCCTCCCCCAACCCCGCACCCCTACCTGCGCGGCGTCCCCGAGCCGCTGCTGCAGCCGCGCGACGCCCGCGTCCCGTCCGCGCCCCTTCATGGCCGGGGGAAACGGGACAGCCGCCCGCACCGCCGCTCCGGGGAAACGGGGCTGCGCTGTCGGGCCCTCCCCGTCGCGCTGCCTACGGGCGGCCAAACCCGGCCGATCTGCCGCCGCACGGGGCCCCCGTCGGGCGCAGCACCGCGCGGTACCGCCGGGCCCCGCCGTGTTTGCTCTGCGGGCGGGGCGGGGGCCCGGGGCCGGCCCGCATTCCTGCGGCCGTGCTGATACCGCGGCCCAACGGCCCCCCGCGCCCCATCCCCGCTCGACTCCCTCTGGGCACGAGCGGCTGCCACGGGAAGTGTCCGTCCGTGCTCCGCGGGGCTGCGCTCGGTCACACCCGAAGGGGCGAAGGCAGGGTCCTGCCCGGCGCAGTGAGGCTGCGGTCCCGGGAGCTGCGGCTGCTGCAACAACTGGGGCTGGCGCCGGGGTGTTGCTGGCAATGGCCGTACGCAGTCCCACGGCTGCTGCATGCGTGTGGAGCAGGCAGCACAGAGTCAGATCAGCGATTTATGTTAAAAAACGTATTTATGGAGCTATTTACAATACCCACGCTGCCGGTAGGTGAGCTGACATACAGCAGACGGACCAGAGCGCCGCTCCCTGCCGGCCTTGGGCCGTGACCGAGGGGTGGCAGACGGGCAGGAGCTGCCTTCATGGCTGGAGGGGAGTGCAGCAGCAGAAGCTGAGCGCTTGCCATCTGGGCAGGCTCAGGATGGCCCCTTGATGGCTCCAGCTCAGTGCAGGATGTGTCCCTGGAGCTGGTGCAGCAGAGCTTCCACATCCTAGGTCCTCCTCCTGTGCTCAGATGACATCTTTTCCTCAGCCATGGGATGAGAAGCAGTCAAGGGGACCGGTGAGGCCAAGACCCAGGCACACGGCACGGCAAGGGCCAAGCACAGGGCCAAGCACAGTCCCTCCCAGCAGTGACTACGTGGAGACACTGATGCGGTGTGGGGTGCGTCGCCGCCGCACGATGCGCAGGGCTGGGCTGTTCCGCCGATGCTGTGGGGAGCCACGGAGGCAGAGAGGGCTCAGCAGCAGCCACAGGTAGAGCAGGACGCAGGCCCAGCACGAGGCCACCTTCACCCAGAACGTCGACCAGCTGCCATGTGTGAAGGTGGTCTCCAGCACTGCGGTCTCGTAGCTGCAGGGAGAGGCAGCCACTGAGTACTGGGGAGATACTGGTATGTGTGGGATGCAGCATCACCTGCAGCTGGCAGGTTCCCCCAGCCCCAGCAGCTGCATGTCTTTGGCCATGTCCTGCCTGCTCTGGGGACCCCAGCCCCACAGACCTTAGCCCGTCGTGCGGCAGCACCGTTGGGTGAGGCGGTGCAGGCCTGTGAGCGCAGGGCTTACCCAGCACATGGCCACGTCAGAGACATTGGTCTGCTCTGGTGACAAGCACCTGGTGGCTGCAGCCACACAGGGAGCAGGTCAGACCTGTCTGGGTGACAGCAGGGACAGCCTGTGGCGGGTGCCACATAAGCAACAGGGAAACAGAGCAAGGACAGTGGGGTGGCCAGCAGCGTAGGCCCTACCTGAACCAGTTGGTGAGTGTCATCATGACATAAAGTGAGGCGAGGAAGAAGACAAAGTGGAAGGCTGAGTAGCTGTAGACCACATGGTCTCGCTCATCCTGGAAAACACACTGTCCTCCAGCAGGCTCCTCCTCTTGCTCACATGTCTGTTCCTGAGCAGCACCTGAGGGAGTGCAGGGTGATGGCAGCTGCAGCTCTTGCACACTGTCCTCATCAACGCCTCTGGCATCTGACATGGGTACCCAAGGCCGTGTGTCACTACAGCCTCCCCCTGACCTGCTGGCACCCATCCTCTACTCACCTCTCAGCTCCTCCTCCATCTTCTCTGGGCAGCAGAAGCAGCAAGAGGGTTTCTGCAGAGACAGACAGGGAAACAAGTTGGTGAAAGGAGATAAGGCAGTGACCCATGACACTCATCCCCACTGCAGCCCCTGCTTGGGCAGCACCACAGCATCTGAACTGAGCCAGGGTTGTCTCGCTGCAGGGGGGTAGCATAAATGGGCTGTGCACAGAAAAGTCCCTAGCTTGGCTGGACAAACCCTGGCCCTGGGCTGGACCTGGGGCTCAGGAGGACTCTGGGTGCTGCATCTGGGTGTCTGTGGCAGGAGGGGCCACAGATGGGGGTACTCACTTTAAACTCAAAGCTGTAGACTTTGACCATCCAGAGGGGCCCAAAGACCTCAGCAAGATAGGAGGCTTCATTACTGTGCACGAGAGAGACACGAAAAACTGTAACACAAGGATCTGTGCCAGGTCCCCTGCCCACCCTTGGATCTGGCACCTGGGATCATTACAGCAGCAGCAGATCTGCTGTGCTGGGCCTGGGGACATCAGGCTGCCGATCTACCCATGCCATTGGGCACATCCCCAGCTCAGCTGTCCATGCCATGGGCTAGGGACAGAGTCCCCATGGGGTGCATGCAAGGAAGGCTGAGCCCAGAAAGGGTCAGCGCTGTGACAAGCCAACTACCCTTGCCCCCCACGCTGTGGGCGCACGCACCATGCGAAGAGCACGCAGGCGTACATGATGGCAGCCCCCAGGATGGCGACTGTGGTGTCCTCTGTTTGCAGTTCATCTTGCTGGATGCCCGGGAAGCAGACGGTGAGGTTCTGCCCCTTGTAGAGCACTGCAGGGAGGCTGAGGTGAGAGCGGGCTCACACTTCAGCAGCTGGCTGCCTGTGGCAGTGGGAGCACTCACCTCTCTCTGGGGGACGGCTGGACAATGCAGAGAAAGTGAGGTACATCACGTAGCAGCTGATGATTGAGGACTGTAGCAGCCCTGACCGCGGCTGCTCTGCAAGGAGAGGAGTCAGAGGCTCTGTGTGGGTTCCAGGCATCCCCTTCAGCAGATCCCATGCCCAAAGCCCTGCACCAGGGCACAGTCCAGGGCCAGAGGGAGCCTCAGGGAGCTGCATACACCCTACGTGCCCATGGCTTCTGCTGAGCTGGGAGCCTACAGCCACCCTCCTGACCCCAAGATGCAGCCAGCCCTTCAGTGCAGCAGGCAACACGCTATGCCATGCCATGCCATGTTATGTGGTACTCACTGAGCCGCACGCAGGGTGTGATGGAGATGAAGGACATGATGCTGCAGAGGCTGCCGTTGACAGTGAGCAGTGCCTTGTTGAGCCGGCAGGCGGCTGGGTGGGTGTAGTACTTGTAGAGGAAGGAGAAGGCAGCGGAGGCGAGGGTGTAGAAGGCAGTGGTGGCCAGCAGCACAGCCAGGTACCAGCGCTTGTCCTGTGCTGCGCCCGTCAGCCTGCCGGGAAAGTGGTGAGAGCTGGCAGCATGCAGGTGCCCACCCACCCACTCTGGCACTCACCAGTTCTTATTCCAGGTGTGTGCAAAGGCAGTGATCAGCACCAGCTGGATGAGAATGAAAGCAAAGCCACCACAGACACCTGTATAGTGCCACGCTGCAGGGGGAAAAGGCAGTGACGATGCTAGCATGAAGCTGGGGCCATGGGACCACGGGTGGGCACTGGCCCGGGCAGGGTAGGGGTCACACCTTGGATGAAGCTCTCCTCAGGGAGGAAGAAGCTGGCGGCGCAGAGCCCCACCAGCACTAGCAGCTTCAGGAACCAGAACCTGCAGGGCAGCAGGTGTCAGGGAGACACAGCTCTGTGTCACCCCGCAACCCCCAGAGCACACGCAGCTCCCAGCCCCATCCCAGCCCGCACCCGTTGTGGAGCCGAGCGCGGCAGTCAGCGCTGGAGCGCACATTGAGGAGCAGGGCGGCCTGCGCCAGGTGGAAGCAGGCGGTGCCGAAGCAGACGCGATAGACGGCCGAGGAGCCCACGAGCTGCGTGCAGTCTGTGCCGCCGGGCAGGTGTTGGCACAGGACCCCTGAGAACGGCATCTGTGGGCACAGCAGCAAGGGGTTGGGATGGGGGGTATGGCAGCACCTCCAGCACACCCATCGACCCCCCGAGCGGCCCCAGCGGCCCGCATCCCCTGCCGCTCCTCTGCTCACCTTCTCCTTTACAGCCTGAGCCACAGTGCGGGACAGCATGAGGCAGCACACGGCAGAGGCCAGAACGTGCAGGAGGGTGTAGAGGATGCGGGTGCCTGTGGAGGCGCGCAGCCCTCTGCCAGGGCCGCAGCCACAGCACAGCTGGAGGGAACACGGTCAGCACCAAAGCGAGCCCCCCGCCCCAGTGCCCCCCAGCCCCAGCTCCCACCTGGCTCGGGAATGAGTGCAGGAGGCCGCGCACCCTGGTGCCCGCCATGACCCGTCCTGTCTCGGCCGGGCCCTGATGGGATTAAGGGGATTGTCAGCTTGACCCGCCCCGCCATCTGCTCGCTGCGGAGAGGCTGACAACTGGTCATCCCCCCGGCCACGGGCGGTGCCGCCTTGCACGGGGCAGGGCGAAGCGTGGAGCCGCAGCCGAGGGGAGCTGAGGCGGTGCCGGGCCTCCTGGTGCGGCGGCTGTGGGAACACAAGGCCTTGGGGCCGCGCGTAGGCCCGGGTGACCGCAGCGGGGCGCTCTGTCCTCCTCACGGGCGCAGGGGTTGCCGCTCTAGCCCGCGCAGCCCCCCGCTCTCGCTGGTTCCACCGGAAGTGAGGCGCGGAGGAGGTGTAATGGCGGCAGAAGGAGACGTGGAGCTGGAGTTGGAGACTGAGCCTAACGGTTCTGGCGGAGGCAGCGATGGGGCGGGAGGAAGGGCGGCCGAGAAGCCGCGGAAACATGACAGCGGAGCGGCGGACCTGGAAAGGGTGACGGACTACGCGGAGGAGAAGGAGATCCAGAGCTCCAACTTGGAGACGGTGCGGGCCGGGCGCTGCTCGGGGAGGGCTGCTCGGGAACGCGCCGGGTTCGGCGCACCGAGGTGACTGTGCTCGTTCCACCAGGCCATGTCGGTGATTGGAGACCGGCGGTCCCGCGAGCAGAAGGCAAAGCAGGAGAGGTAACCGCGCTCCCCGCACGTGGCTCCGGAGGCGGCCCCGCCGCCTGCACCCGCCCGGCTCTAGGCTCGGCCTCGGTTTCCTGCTGCCCCTCCGCAGCCACGGCACGTCTGCCCTGGGTGGAGGTCCAGGGGCTGTATGCGGTGCTCCTCCATGGAGTCACTTCTGCTGTGGTTTGGGGTTGAATGGAGCTGCCCCTCACTGGTGGTTGGTTCTGCCTCTGGTTACAGGGAGAAGGAATTGGCCAAAGTCACCATCAAAAAAGAAGATCTGGAGCTGATTGTAAGTAAGGGCAGGAAGCTGAGTTGGTGCCAGCGCATCCCAGGGGCAGCCAGTGCCTGGCACCTCCCTGGCAAACAGCCATGGCGCAGAAGTGCGCAGCAGGGTGTCCCCTGCTGAGCTGAGCCTCCCCTTCCACCCTGGCTTGCAGGGTGGTTTTGTGTACGGAGCTGTATTGAGCTGTGGCTCTTTCCTGCAGATGAATGAGATGGAGATCTCGCGGGCAGCTGCAGAGCGCAGTCTGCGGGAGCATATGGGCAACGTGGTGGAAGCACTGATCACCCTCACCAACTGAGCGTGGGCTGTGGAGCTGCCCTGGCTCTGTGCTCCCTTGTTCCGAGAACAGCAACGTGACCTTGGCTGGAGATGATGTATGTTAACTTATTGAATAAAGGCACCAGTGGGAACGGGCTCCCTGTGGTTCATGCAGCACAGAGCATTTCCCCTGCTGGGCAAAGGCCAGAGGGCACCTGGTGATGGGGACGATGTGGGGACACTGTGTGGCTTCAGGGTAGTGATAACCAGGTTTCCTGCATTAGAGGATGACTGCCGGTCCCTGCCTGCACATCAGTGAGCTTGCCCAGGTTTTTCTGGGTTGTCGGGCTACTCCAAGACAGGCTTTTGGTCCCTACTACAGGAGGCTGGGCAGATCAGCTGGAAATGACCTGCTGCCTTTGCCCACCTCTTGAGTGTGGGCAGGAACCCTGATTTTCAGTGATGTGTCACCCTTGGGACACCTTTGTCAAGTCCACAGCTGCTAGTACAGGGGGGTTGCTGCTCTGTTGAGGTGAGGAGAAGCACTTGGCCAGAGCAGGGTGGCTGAGTGCCTGGCCTGCTCTGCCACAGACACCACTACCAGAATTTGTAAGAAAACAATTGCTTTAATCAAAACAATCCCATCCCCCTGTACAGGTAGAAAAGCCAAGCCCTGCGGAAACAGGATTAGGAGACAGTGTCATAGCTGTTCCCAACCAAAGGAAGATCCAAAATGACAATGGGGAAAGGTAGGAGGAAGAGATAGTATGGGCCAGACAGGGATAAGTGTCTGCTACTTCCTCTGAAGGTGGGGATGCTGGAGCAGGGGGTGCTGTGCTTCTGTACAGCTGGTCTGGTGCTGCTGAAGCTTTTGCAGGCAGGTGGGATGGGGACATGACTATGAGGCTGCTCAGCATAGCTGGAAGTCATCTTTCACAAGAGCCAGTGATGGAGTCTGCTGAGTCTCTGAAGTGCAGGTCGAGTCATGCCACCAAATCAACAGGGAGGACGTAGTGCAGGGGCACGGAGGAACAGCTTATTGTGGCACGAGTCCTGGTGCGGTGTTTTGTCCCTGCTGTTCCTGCCCAGGCTCTTGGGCAGCTGACAAAGCAGTGCCTCTCTGCCCAGTAGGCAGCCACAGGGTGCCCTCCTGCGTGCTCCCTTAAGTGGTCTTCCGCTTCTTGGCTGAGGGTCTCTCAAAGACATCCCTCACACCTGCTGCTTTCTGCTTGAAGAATTTAGTGTTTTGTGCACTTTCTTGGCCCCAGGCAGAGTCAAACGAGGTGGTATCCTGGTCTACCAAGTGCGTGTACTTCGTCCGTCCTGAGCGCCCAAAGTTCTTGACCTGGGAGGCAGGAAGGATTTGTGAGCACCCATTTGGGTAAGATGTGGGGACCCTGTCATGTCACTGCTCCTTCCTTTGGCATGCACGAGCCCCAGCTGAGCAGCACTGGCGGAGCTGGGGCAACACACAGACCTGCCACACACCTACCTGCATGACTTTGGGCAGGATAGTTTTGTTGAAGTGGTCCTCAAGGGTCGGGGCGCTGAAGTCCCGCTTGTACACCTCCTCATCTTCATCCTGCAGAGGAAGGACACAGCTGCTTGACTTGCAAGTTTCCAGCAAGTGTCAGTAGCAGACAAGTGGTGAAGAGCTACCAAGAACCAACTGCTCTGGAACAGCTGCTCCTTGCAGCAAGTCCCTGACCAACTGCACTCATGTCTTTACTCACCCTGCCTGCCAGACCTGACAGGCATCTCAGATCACTGCGGTCACTTCTGCAGCACACTGGCTGCCAAGGGCCAGCCCTTACTGGATATCACTAGGGAAAGCTCCCCAAAGCAGGCACGTGGCCCCACATGGCCCCAGGCCTGTCTGCAGCACTCACCATGAAGAAGGCACCACGGTGGTAGTACTTCTGCAGAAACTTGTATTTGCCCTTCACTGCCTTGTTGGTGATGACCTTGCCGTTGGCTCGCAGCTCAGCACGGCGCTCCTCCTCTGTCAGGTTCCGCATCCGCTCGATCTCTGCCTTCTCCTTCTCCATGCTGGGCAAGAGAGAAACCCTGAGCCCCTGCAATCCCCCAGTGCCCTCCCAGCATGGAGCAGCTGCTGCCACCCAGAGCCTTCTGAGGGAATGCGCCTACTGACTCCGCAATGGAGTAAAGCGCCTCGAGGATGGTTTCTCAAGAAAGGTTCCTGATGCAACCAAAACAAAGCCCAAGAAAGAGATGCCTCAGCTGTCCACTGTCCTGCAAGACCTGGGGCTGCAGGGACTCTCCTGCCTTCAGCAGGCAGTACTTACGCTTCTCGTTCTTCGCGATCCCGCTTGATGCGCTTCAGCTCGCGCACTTTCCAAGCCTCGTATTCCTCCTCATCATTCTCATCATCTGTATCAAGAGCATCAAGTGCTGCCAGCGAGCGCTTATTCTCCTCCAGCTCCTTCTTTGCTTCCTCTTCCACGATCTGAAGCCGAGACCAAGCTCAGCTCACTGCAGCAGCTGTCCCAGCATGGCCCCAGCCCGCCCCACCGTACCTTGAGTGTGTACTTGCGTCTCTCCTCTGCTAATCTCTTTGCCTCCTGTTCTAGCTCCTTCTGCTTCAAGGCTTCTGCTTCTCGCTCCTGAACTGTGATCCGGTCCTTCCTGTGAGCGGGGACCACAAAAGCTTTCAGCCTTTCCATAAGCCACTGCAGACTTCTGCTGCCGCACTGCAGCCTCTTTTGCCTTTACGCTCCGCATGGCAGGGCCAAGTACACAGGCTCTCTCCTCTCTGATGCTGCCCATGCAAGAGCCACCACACTCAATCCCCAAACATGCACAAAGGCGATTGCGAGACCCTGCCACTGGCCGTGGAACACACTGGAGCACACTGCCTGGTTCCTGTTGTGCTGCACCTGCCTAAAGTCCCCAGCTGGAACTCTGCTGCCACTCAGACCCAGCCGTGCCCTGCCAGGTCAGTCACCACCCATCCCTGATGCAGGAGCTGGAGCAGTGACTGCTGTGCAGTTCCTGGCCCACACGGCTGTGTCACCTACTTGCGGATGAAGACAGGTTTGAGACGTGGCTCCATTTCATCCTCGCTGTCTGTGTACTCCTCGTACTCAGACTCTGACTCAGATTCTTCTCCAGATCTGCCCTCATCTTCCAGCTCCATCACTTCTAGCTCCTCGGTTTTCCTCTCCTGTGCTCTCTGACGCATCATCCCACGCCGACGCTCAATCTCCTGGTGGAGACACATCAAACACAGACTCAGCCAACCACCCCACTTCTGCTTCCTTCTTTTTTCCATACAGAAAGCATGATGGTGAGCTCACTGGTTATAAGCCCACACCTCATCATGGAGGTGACCTCCCCAGTGCCCCATAACCCATAAGTTGGGGTCACACGACAGCTGGCTGTGACTCAAGTCCCAACATTCACCCAGTCCCATCAATGTTCACAGGTTTCTGCAAAAGTCAATTCCAGATACGGCCTTAGGGGACTTCCTCAGGCCCCATCTGTTCAGCACTACAAACATACCTCATCATCAATCTCTTCTTCTTCCTCTTCACTGGTGTCCTCTCGCTCCACACGCCATGCTTCACCTTCTACCTCAGAATCACTCTCTCCAACCACTTCAGGCTCCACAATTTTGCGGTGCCTTGCCAGCCTGAAACAAACATCCATTCAACTATGATGCTCTGAACACAAGGAGAATACGAGAAATTTTTGTCATCTGCTTTTAATGAGACTGTAGAAAGACTTGTGACCACAAAGCATATGAAGAAAAGACAAACTCCTTGTGTGCACCTTCCCTGAATCCAGAAAGGCAAAGGTAGGGGAACACGAGGAAGAGCACGGCCCCCAGATATCAGCACTCACCGCTCCTCCACGTCCTCAGTGATGCGGTTCTGCAGTCGCCGCAACCGAGGGTCGTTGGCGACCTCCTCCTCCTGCTCTTCGGGCTCCACCTCCTGCTCCTTCGCCTTCTT